AGAGACATTATTAAGTATATTAGACCTTGTAGTGATAAACTGAAGGGATTAGAATAAGATAAAAGGGAAGAGATAAACATAGAAAATGCAGAAGGGAGTTGATACAACAGATGATAATATTGAAAGACTTTCTCAAGAAAATAGGTAGATTTGGGAAGACTAAGATGTCCACCACAACAACTACCACTAAGATTGGGAAGAAAAAAACATCCAACGCAACATCAATGATAACATCACCAGCAGGACAATGTTCTACAGAGGGCATGCTGAATCCTGAGAAGGCAAGTCAGGTATCAAATATGCAAACAATTCAAATAGCATTAACAACAATACAAGAAATGATGGTGAGAAACCACGCAGACTTTAAAACTGAAATGCGGGAAATGAAAGGTAAAATATGGAAACTAGATGAGAAGATAAGTACAATCCAACAAACAGTAGTAAAGATGGAACATAAAATGAAAGCAGTGGAGGCAAAGGTCAAACAAACAAGATAAGAAAGTAGAATCAATAGAACAGAAATTAATGGGAGAGAACAGGAAATTAGAAGAGGCAATTGCATATTTGGAGACGGAAAAAGCTGATTTCTTCCTCAGATTTCAGAATGTAACAGAAGAAAGGGGGGAGGACTTACCCAAAGTAATGGCAGATCTCATAGCAGAAGTGTTACAAAAAGAGGGCCAAGAGGTTCGAAGGGAAATCGATGAGGTATATAGAATATATTCCAACTATACAAGATGTTTTAGACTTCCAAGAGAGGTTCATATACAATTCTCAAAGAAACAACTGAGAGATGAGATATACAAAGTGACAAGAGACGAACCGCTGATATTCAAGGGAACGGAAATTGTAACGTTGAAACAAATTCCAAGAAGAATAAGGGAACATAGAAAGAAATACAGATTCTTGGCCACCCAACTGAATAAGAAATGTTCAAATGGCTCATCCCAGAGGGAATGTTAATATCATGGCAAGATAAAAAATTTAAAATAGACAGTATAGAAAAAGTGAGGGAATTCTTTGAACTGTATGTGGTATCAGGAGAAGACCAGAACAGCAAAGAGGAAGTGGAAAGTAGGAGCCAAGAAGAAGATCGAGTGAGGAAAGAGAAACAGAACAAGAGGAAAGAGAGCAGGAAGAAGTGGAAAGAGAAGGTGTAAGAATGAGACACCAAACAAGAGCAAATAAACTTCAACAAGAAACAACTACAGAGTAAGATGGCGGAAGAAATTAAATTGATTTCCATTAACATCAACGGTTTAAATTCACAAATTAAGAGGAAAAAAACAATAACTAACTACAGAAATTGAACTTAGATATTATATGCCTTCAAGAAACACATATCCAGAAAAATCAAAGTAGACTGTTAGAAGCATCAAAGTTAGGAGATTTATACGTATCTCTAGCCCAACAAAAAAAGAGGGGGATAGCAATATATATTAGGAAACATTTACAAGCAAAACAGGTATATGCAGATGAGGAGGGTAGGATTTTGATGTTAGTTTATATAAATTATAAGAAAATGTTATTGACAGTGATATGTGCACTGAACGAGAAACAAGAAAAAAATTATACCAAACTATCCAGAAAATTAGTAGAACAGGAATATGAGAATATATGCCTGCTAGGTGAATTCAATGCAATAGCAAATTTAGGAAAAGATTACAATAATGAATATCCAGGGGAAAAAAGGAAAACATTACCAAAAGTATTCTATCAAGTGGCGGAAGAATTAAGATTAAAAGATATATGGAGAGAAAGAAATCCAGACAAAAAACAGTAAACTTACTATTCAGCACCACACACATCATGGTCAAGATTGGATATGTTATAGACAAATGGGGAAATGGAACGTAATATAAAAGAAATAGAAATTGAATCTAACACATGGGCGGGCCATAATCCCATTAAAATAATTTGGAAAGGATTGAAAAACAACAGAAGATGGATGCTAAACAAGGAGATCCTGGGGAAAAAAAGAATGTGTTAAGATGATGGAAAAAGGATTGGAGTTCTTTCTGAAGGAAAACAAAAAACAACAAACATCAATTCCAAACCTATGGGACATTACTAAAGCATATATCAGGGGCCTAGCAATTTCACATAATACATGTAGATATGAGGGAAAAAAGGAGAACAATCTAAACTACTAGATACTCTTAAGGAGTTAGAAAAAACACTAGAAAAAACACCACATAATAAGACAGCAAATACAGAGAGGATAATGATTAGACATAAATTGAATATGTTAGCACAAGATGAATGGTTACAGGACATGAAAAAGATAAAACAGAATTATTTTGAACACGCGAATAAGCTGGCAAGGTAGCTAGCCTATAGACTTAAGAAAGAAAAAGGAAAAAGACCAATCCAACAATTGAAAGACGCTGATGGTACGCTACAACATCAAAGTGAAAAGAAAAAACATATTGTTAAAAGTTTTTTTGTGGAATTATATAGTAGGGAAGACGTACCAGAGGGAAATATCCAACATTACTTAGAAGGAAAAGGAGTACCTGTGATCCCGGAAGAGGATAAAGAAGAGACAAACAGGGAAATAACATTAAGAGAACTGCAAGAGGCAATCCTGGAACAGAAAAACAATAAGACACCAGGACCGGATGGTCTCCCAAGGGAACTGTATAAAACGCTCCAAGAAAAATCAGAAATGCAATTATTAGAACTCTATAATGAGGTACTGATGACAGCAAACTTACCTAAGTCATGGGGGGAGACGTACATAACATTGATCCCAAAAGAAGATTTGGACCATCAATTAATTCAAAATTATAGGCCCATATCCCTTTTAAATGTTGATTATGAAATATTTATGTCCATAACGGCAGAAAGAATGAAAAAACCCTTAATCAGATCATTCATAGCGACCAAAACAGATTCTTACAGAATAGACAAATTAAAAATAATACCAGAATGGTATTGAACATAATAGAATATTATGAAGCAAACCCAGGAAAACAATTGGCAATGGTCTTCCTCAATGCGCAAAGGCATTTGACAATGTTAATTGGCAGTTCATAATACAACAATTAATAAGCATACAATTTGGCAATTTATTAAATTTATTAAATTGATTTCGACAATTTATACGACACAGATGGCCAGTGTAATAATGAACAGTGACAGAATGGAAAAATTCAAGATTAACAAGGGAGTAAGGCAGGGATGACCACTGTCACCCCTTCTCTTTATTCTTACCTTAGAAAACTTATTGGAAAATGTTAGGAAAAATGTAGAAATCAAAGGGGCTTTAATTAAAAAGGAGCATTATAAGGCACGGGCATTTGCCGATGATATAGTATTTTTGGGGGAAGATCCAGAGGATACGGGAGTAAAATTAATAAAGGAAATAGAGGAATTTGGCAAGGTCTTAAGATTAATAAAAAAAAACAAAATTATTGACTAAAAATTTAAAAGATAAGCAAAAAAAAGAAAAGAATTAGAAGGAAAATTGGGAATGCAAAGTGTGAAAAAGGTAAAATATTTAGGCATTTGGTTAACAGCAAGATGCCCTTCAATCAAAAAAGATAATTATGACAAATTAATAATACAAATCAAAAAAGAATTGGAAATGTGGGGGAAATTACAGCTATCACTACTGGGGAAAATTGCGGCAATTACAATATCTACCCTACCAAAAATGCTATATCTTTTTCAAACTGTACCAATAAGATTGGATAAAACCTTTTTTGGAGAATTAGACTGAATAATAAGTAAATTTGTTTGGGATGGGAAAAAGGCTAGGATAAAAATGAAAATGTTACAGTACAAAAGAGAAAGAAATCGCTTTGGACTCCCTGACTGGGAAATGTATTATCAGGCTGCGGCTATGGTATGGATTAAAGATTGGATCAACCTGGAAAATAGAAGAGTATTGTTGATAGAGGGTCACGGCTTGCAGAGAGGGTGGCATAGTTTCCTATGGGATGGGAAATATAAACAGCATGCATATTTTCAGAGACACATGATTAGAGATTCACTAATTCGGACATGGAACAAGATTAAAAAGAATCATTATACTAAAATACCGAACTAGTTGTCAACTAGGGAAGCACAAATCTACCCAAATGCAATGGATATGGGAAAAAAGAGGCATTACAAAGACCTATTAGACACACAAGGAAGATTAAAAACAAGACAAGAATTACAGCAACAAAATATAAAGATAGATTGATGGCCATACATGCAAATTCAGGCGAGATATCAGAAGGACAAAGAACAATTTGGTTTCTGCAATTTGGAAAAGCATCAATTAGATAAAATTCTACAAGAAATGGAAAAGAAAATGATTTCAAGAATATATAACTTTCTACTAGATTTTAAAATGGAAGAGGAGGTGGTCAAAGAGACAATGGTGGTATGGGCGAAAAATGTTGGCCACAATATAGACCTGGAAAATTGGGAGAGAATGTGGGGATCAAATTACAAACTAATTGCATCCACAGCATACAAGGAAAATCAATACAAAATGTTCTACAGATGGCACCTTCCCCCGCTAGATTGGCAAAAATGTTTAACTCAGACCCAAATTGTTGGAAATGTGGAAAAGAAAAAGGCACTTATTTTCATACCTGGTGGACATACCAGGAAGTGAAAAAATATTGGAATACAACTAGACAATGGATAGAAGAAATCACAAATCAGAAAACTGAATTTAATCTGGAAACTTTTTTATTAGGTATAATAACACAAAAATGCAATAAAACAGATAGATATATTATGTTACATATATTAACAGCTGCAAGGATTTTGTATGCACAACTCTGGAAGGAAAAACGGGTTTCACTGGAAGGCATGGTTATAAAATAAATAATAGATTGCATAGAGATAGACATGCTAATGATGAAAATAAAAGATAGAGAAGATTCAATTTATTATAGGGCCTGGGATGCCTGGTATGAGTGGTTTAGAAATAAAAAGAAAATAAAATGGCAATTAGGAAAAGAATGAGGGAATATGTAAATATGTAAATATACAATGGAGAAGATTGAGATGTAAGGATAAAAGATATTGATTTATAGTAAGAGTAAGATGTAATGGAATAAGTAAATACATATACTGAAAAATGTGAGGAGATGCAAAAGATGTCTTGATGTTGATAACAATGTATAAAGTTTTATTTTATGTTTTTAAATTTTTGAAACTTAATAAAATTTATTTTTTAAAAAAAGTTGAAAAGAAAAGACATTTTATTGTTATTGGCTTTGTGCTGTATTCATCTGACCTTTAAATCCTTTGAATAGCAAGCAAAAATACAAAACCTGGCTGAACAACTAGGGACACCAATGGTAGACAGCCATCTTTGACAGCTTTGCCAAAGTAGGTTCACAGAAGCATTTTCTGGCAGCTAAAAAAGATTCCTATTTGAATTCCTAGTCAACTTCCTTTAGGATTCTGTGATTATGAATAGTTATCACTGTCCTTTTTCTAAAGTTTACCTAGTGAGGAAAAATTAGCAACTCCTTCTAGGAAAAAAACAAAGAGCTAGTCCAGTGCTGAAAAATAAGACTTGTGACTGGTCCTATAAGTTTCAGCAGTCAAAGTATCCTTGCAGTCATGTGATCATCATTTCAGTGCTTGGCAACTGGCACACATTTAGTATGGTTGCAGCACCCCATGGTTATGTAATTGCCATTTGAGACCTTCTCAGCCAGCTTCCAACAAGCAAAATAAATGAAGAAGCCAGCAGGAAGTTGTAAGCCACAGACAAGTGATGGAACATTTAACCACCCATTGTGAACCACTGCAACCAGAACTGATATCATAGACTGGCATAGTAACATGAATTTTCATTTAATGTGTTGCTTAGTTGTCTGTCTCAAGTGCAGTCAGTTAGTGAGGACTATCTGTCATCTATGATCCACAGATTTCTAGCACTGATGATGTTACCTAGTTTGGGTAATGAAACACCTGCAAGAAAACAAGCAAATTCAAAGAGCACCAAGGCCTCAACTCCACACATTTCTTTGCTATGCAGGGAAACTCACTGTTGTACGAAAGCATCAAGCAATACCTTGGATTTAGATTTCATGAAGGGAAAGCCCACACTGCACTTAAGGAAGTCTGAGTCCTGTTCCAGCACTTCACAAGCAATACCCATCTCATCCTGAAAGAAACAGAAGGAAAAGCTCTTTAAAAACATTTTAGTGAATGAGTATATAGCAGAAAAGAAATTGGTGAGATCAAAATTAATTTAGCAGCACAGAGGCTATGTATCTACTCACTTATCTAAGAAGAAGCTACTACGTGAGATTTACTCTGGATAAATAGATTTATCAAGCACCCTACTACTGCCAGGAAACATATCCAGAGCGCAAAATGGTTGTAAGAAAAAAAAATATTCAGCATCATTCTGTCACTTTTGTCTACATAAAAAAAAATCCCATACATAATTGGGTCTTTGAATTGTATTTCTAAAACCATGGATAGTTCCAACATCATGATTTGAGATTCATATTTTGTTCATGTTGGGCCATCTTTCTTATTTTAGGCTCCGCCCCTTTCTTGAATTGTGGAGTATTTTAAAGAAGTAATCATACAACTTAAAATCCTTGTTCTGCTTACTAAATTTGAGGCTAATACACAATATTTCAGCTCTTTCAGAATATAATTACACCTTCACCTTGTTTAATACCATTTTAAAACATAGGATACTTAAATTCTATTCTTCTTGTAAAATTCATTTGTTGAATTTATTACTTATTAAAACAAATAAATTGCTCAAATTAGACATGGCTTGCTGATCTATTATATATTGATTACCTGACTTACCTTTCTTAGTATTATAATACTATATATGTGCACAGATCAGAGGGAAAATGTCAGGCCTACATTCAAAACTGAAGAAAGAGGACCTTCAACTCCATTGATTTAGAGAAGAGGTACTTTTATTAGTGTTTGAAATGATAGCAGCAAAAGCAAGATGAGATCTGATTCAAAATGCACGAAAGTTACAGACTGAAAGTCACCCCAAATCCTTCCTAACAGAGTCCTGCACTGAGAGTTCAATCAATGTCCAGTATGATGTCTGGAGTCTTAGGATGACTGGTCTTGGCAAAGTGTAAGCAACTCCACTCAGCAGCACCATAGTCCATGAGTGCAAATGTCCCTTTCAGTTCTCATTGGATATCAGCTTCCCCACCTCAATACCCAAGGCCCCCCTCCCCATTACCATGGCAGCCAATAGCAAACATGCTGAAGAAACCCATGCCGGAAATTTGGCTGATATTTTGCAGCAGGGGCATTAGCCCTATAAAAGAAGGAAAAGCAAAACACAAACTAATACATATAGTACAACAGAATTTATTAGTTTAGTGGGATATTTCAAATTGTTGTGAGGAAATACTCCCCCTGTTGGGATTCTTCCAGTCAGAATGCAATGATTCGTGCTTTGAAGAAATAATTGAATAACGAAGCATAGCTGTGGAAAAAAGCTTTTAATGACAAGAAACCAAGATGAGTGACATTCAGCTAGCTATGAAGATTGACATTCAAACTTGAGTTTATATAACCTTATATAACCTTTCTGAGTTTTGGTCTAAAACTGGGTTTTGGTGACGTTTTAATTCTGTGTTTGGTGACATTTAATCCTGTGTATATTAATGGGATAATTTTCCCTATTTAATTTTGTTGGGAAAGGAAAAGGTTAATCTCTGTTCCTGAAAGAAAGCAGAGCTAAGAAATCAGACTATCTTCTGTTTTGTTTTGGTGATTGGTTTAATGAGCACCAGCTGGCTTGCTTCCTCTGTGTTTCAACTTGATCTAGCCTGAAGCTGTAAGATCTGGCAATGAGCCAGATAGGGCTTTTTCTTCTCTTGTGTTTTAGTTTGAAATGATTTAAACGATTGTGATTTAATTTATTTGTATTGTGTTTGAGTTATTTGCTGTCTCATGTTTTTTTTCCTCTATCTGGGGATGGGGTCTCCCTTCACTATGAAACACTTGAAGGAACTTGGGAGCCTGAACGTTTTAAGCATCCACCTATTCAAATTGTGAAGGAGGTAACTGTTTCCAAGCAACCAAATATTGCAGTTTCCATTTCCTAGAATCAAAGATTTCTTTGACTTCAAAGTTTCTTTTATTTCTTTTATTTCGGGGTAGTTTTAAGTACTTAGTGGATAGATACACTTTATCCCCCATTTGGAAATCTTTTGGTTTGGCTCTCTTTTTATCAGCCTGCTTCTTATGGGCCTGATGTGCCTTGTCCAGTACTTTATGTGTGACTGGCAAAGTGCATTGCAATTGTTCAATCAACTCCACTAAGTAGGGGGTTAGAGGCTTCTCCAGAGGCAGTTCTGGTATGGGACTGAAATCCTGTCCAGAAGCAACTTTGAATGGAGTGAAGCCAGTACTACTATGTATTGACGACTGCAAAGGACAGCAACTCAGCCCAATTTATGTAGCACCTAAGGTACTGTTCCAGAACCGAGTTGGTCCATTCACAAGCTGCATTAGTTTGAGGGTGGTGAGTGGAGCTTAGCCCCTGGGTGGACCTAGCAGCCATAGGAATTCCCATCAACATTTGAAGATGAACTGTGCCCTCCTGTCAAGATAATGTGATCAGGGACTCCGTGTAACCTATACACATGTTGAATAAACAGTGAGCTCTTAAACTGAAGGTATCTTAGGACATGGGACAAAATGTACCTGTTTGGAGGATAAATCTGTAACCACCCAAATGACTGTGTTTACCCTACTCTCAGGCAATTCTACTATAAAATGTATGGATATTTCTCTTCATGGGGCCCTAGGATTGGCAACACTCTGGAGGAATCTGGCAAGCTTTCCCAGGGTCCGTTTAGCCACTGGACAGATGAGGCAGTTGGCTACATAAGCATCAATTCCATTTTCCAATGAAGATCACCAAAACCATTGCTTGATCAGGTGTAAGCTTTTCACAAAACTAAAATGGCTGAGGGCTTTCGAATCATGGGCCCATTGCAGAACAGTCCCCCTCAAACTGGTGAGCATGTATAACTTAGTGCTCATCTCGCATGGTACAATCCTTCACGTGGGATAAAGCCTATCATTCTTTAGTGCCCCTTTCATCTCTTCACATAAGTTATTGGGAAGCTCAGGCTCCATTTTTTTCTGGGCCCTGGTAACCACAGGGGCAGCCAGTTGCTTAGAAGGGATGACTGGTCAGTTCACTTCAGGCCTAATGCTGTTGTATTGGGACAGTCTGGAAGTATCAGCCATAAAGTTCTTTCCCCCAGGAAAGTAGCGCAGTGCAAAATTAAACCAGTTAATTAAACTCAGTGAACTTGCTTAGGTGACAAACTCTATTAAGTTTTCAGGATCTCCAGATTTTTGTGATCACTCCACACCTCAAAAGTCTGCTTTGCCCCTTCTAGAAAATGTCTCCAAATTAACAGTGCCCATCCCACAGCAAAAACTTCCTTCTCCCAAATTGCCTACCTCCTCTCAGTCTCAGTTAATTTCCTGGAGGTGTAAGTGCATGGTTGTAAGCCATTTGCCTGCAACAGTATGGCTCCCACAGCCACATCACTTGCAGCAGCCTGGACCACAAATTCATGTCAGGGTGTTTAAAGTATGGGTCCGGCCACAAACAGCTGCTTGAGCTTTTCAAAGGCTGCTTGGCATTCCATGGTCAAAAATCTGGTCACCGTTAAACTGACAAACAAGTGTGGCTGTGGACTGAACAAGTGCAGGAAAAGAAGCAAACTTTCAAGAAATGGCAGGCAGATAAGACCAAAGAGAATTTACAGAACTATGTAACCACCAAAAGAGCAACCAAGAGAGTGGTTGCTGAAGCCAGGACAAAACACTACCAAGACTTATATGACCTCCTGGAGATGAGGGAAGGGGAGAAAGACATTTACCAAGTGGCCAAAGAACAGAAGAAGGCTGCATAGGACATTGAGCATTACATGTACATGAAAGACAAGGATAGGACAAGGATAGGACAAGGACTCCAAGACAAACAGGAGAACCTGCAAGGATGGCAGCATCATTTCAGTGAGATCTCCAACATTGAATTCCCATATCCACTAATTCCAGAAGCATATCAACTCATGGACCCATTCCACTCATAACTAAAGTCAACAATGTTGTGGGAAGAATGAAGAACTTGAAGGCCCCTGGACATGACAATCTGCCTGTGGACTTCTGCAACTAAAGGAAGTGTACACAGGGATGCCTTGGCTGACTGAGTTCTTCAATGCTGTAATGAACACTGGCCATGTACCAACTGATTGGTCAACAAGGGTAAGAGTTCCCATCTTCAACAACATGGGTGACCCAGATCACTGTGCCAACTATCACCCAATTCATCTTCTCTCTCACACTATGAAGATCTTTGAGATAATCCTTGATTAACATATTCACAGCATCGCCCAACTCACCATCAACCAGCGCAGCTTTGTTAAAGGATAGGGAACAACAGATGCCATCTTTGCAGCTCATCAACTCATAGAGAAACATCATGAGAAGAGACAACATTTTTCTTGCACAATGGTTTGAGGCTCCTGATTTTATTAGGGCATTGGTCGAAACCATGATACACTACACATAGCATTCCTAGACCTGAACACATTTGATTGTGTTCCACATCAACTAACCTGATAAGCCCTCTGGGATCACCAAGTACCTGAACCACTCATTAATTGTGTCAAAATGCTATATAAGAACACCAGCACTCAGGTGCAATTCCTAGCTGGCTTCTCCAACAGATTCCCAGTGATGGTTGGGGTGCACCAACTCTGCACTGTCACCACTTCTGTTTATATTGGTCATGCACACTATCATGCATGACCTGGACTATGCTCTATGCAGATGATGTTATACTTGGTTCCACCATCAGAGGTGAACTACAGCAGCAAGTTCAAACATGCAATGATCACCTCAACTGGACTCTGCCTTAACATCAAGAAAACTGAGTACTTAGAGACTGTTACCACACCTGGAATGCTTCAAATCAATGGAGAAAACCTAAAGAAGGTGGACATTTTTTGGTATCTGGGATCCCATCTCTAAGGCAATGGTGACATCAATGGTTAGGTGTGAACAAGGGTGAATGCAGCTTGGATGTGTTAGCAAGAACTTGCTGGTGTGTTATGTGACAGACAAATGCCATCTCCATACCATGGAAATGTGAATGCTCCTTTGGATATTGGGCATCTCTCTTCTTGACCACATCACAAATTATATCATTCAACAATATTCTGGTGAGGCACCAATTATAGAGAAGATGAGAGAAGGCCGACTCCACTGGTAAGGACATGTGCAGAGAGCAGCACCTTCCACATTGTTAAGACTGCCTACCAACTAGAAGTCAATGGTTGGTGACCTTGCAGGCACCCAAAAAGAGATGGTAAAACGCCACCAAAGAAGATATGCAAGCTGTGGGCTTGCACCCTGGAGACACAGCTGACCATGCAAAGTGGCATTCAACGATCCGAACAGTGGATCCTGCACCTACTGGAATATGTTAGGAAGAAGAAGTAGTTCTTTATACATTGACAGAAATATCTATGTGACCTCATCTACTTTTTGGAGTAGAGTATCAATATTCAGACGCTTAGGACCTGTCTCATATTTATGATGATTGTAGTGTCCATGGATCATATGATCATCTTTTATGATCTACTGATAAGCAAAATCAATGGGGAAGCCAGATTCTCTTAACAATCATGTTACTAAATTAACAACTGAAGTCATTCATTTAACAAATGTGGCAAGAAAGGTTATAAAATGGGGCAACATTTACTTAACAAATGTCTCACTTAGCAACAGAAATTTTTGGTTCAATTGTGATCATAAGTAGAGAACCGCCTGTTGCTAAATGGCCTGGATATAAGAATATTTGGCTCTTGATGGAAGCAGGAAGTTCTGAAGGTATAATTTTAAAACAAACACAGAACCATTCTGCAGGGGCTTAATTATGACTTGGGTTATAAACAATATGTGCTTTTATTCAAAGCAAAGCTCCAAATGTTTAATGGATTCTCATATGCTAATTTTTAAACCTGGATGCAATTTTAGTTCAGTGTCTGAGTCAATAGATTTCTATTTGTAAGCTCAATGGGATGTGCTGATGTAAAACTATCATCAACCTAAATGTCAGTTCATTCATTTTTACCAAAAAAGGAAACACTTGTTCCTTCTACTAACAAGCCAGAGAATTTTAATAGAGGCTTTTTGAAAGCAGTCCTGGCAGAAATCAAGTTTGGACTGTGTTTTGTTTTGTTTTTTCTGTCTGTTGAAATCCTTCCTGGCCTCTTTTCTTTTTAAAAAAGAGTAGGTCATTTACAAATATATATATACCCAGATCTTTATAAGGAAAGCATCACATGGTATGGGTTTTCAAATGAGTTCATAGCTGGCTGGGTCATTATGACAAGGCATAGATATTTGCTATTAATATAAGCACTGAAACAGTAAGGTGCTTTAAACCCAAGTAAGAAATGCTAATATAGAGCAAATTTTTATTTTATAAACATTGCTTTGCAATTTAGGGAGAAAAAAAAAATTTGTGCTATATAAATATTCAGGCGCACATGTTTCTCCCTCAATCTTGGGCCAAAAGGAAGATGCTACTTTAGCTATTTCACTTCCAGTTTTCAATTTCATATGGCATGCAGGCTTAAATAGAAAAACATTTATGTATTGGAGTAGGACACTCAGAGGTCTTTGTCAGAAGAGATCCTATTAGGCAAAATGAAAAAGTTGCCTGAGAGAGCTGGTTTTGGATGTCATGAAGAACAGAAAACTGTTGTTTACATTGCTATGGTACTGTCCTGCTAAAGAAGGGCTTTTTTTCTGACTAAGAACAATTCCTGGATTCTGTTCCATTCTCATGAGAGTCTGTCCAGTTATTTTGTCTTAAGTTAAATGCAGCCCAGGATTCTTGTGCAAGGAAATTTTTTTCACAGTCTTCCCAGTTTTGAAGTTCTAGTGAGACAGCAGAAGAATATATACTAAATTTCTTGGTGAACTGTTTTGTATAACCAAGGGTTACTGGGGAGCCATGAAGAAATGAAGTCCAGTTTAGACAAGTTGTGTACAATAAAACTAAGTTCTTTCAATTATGTCTATGGGTCATAATGAAAAATGACTGGGTGGGCACAGCTGAGAAAGGATGCTTAAAAGTTATGCAAGGTTTAGCATTCAATGACAATAACAAGGAAAATGTCTCAAATGATGTGAAATCGGTACAAGATTTATTGGAAAAATATGACATATTACAGTACTGACCCTTAGTTGACTAGTATTTTCTTATACAAGGCAAGTTTATGCTATTAGCAGGAAGAGTTAAGATCTCAGTAACATTCTTGATAGTAGTCTTCACTTTTTCCCAAAAGAATGCTTTCCCCAAAAGAATGAATTTCCTTCATTCCTTGTTTACTCTTTTTTAGGACTAAATGAGGTGAGATTTAGTCCTAAAAATAAGTAAACAAGGAATGAAGGTAATTTTAAGGCAGCAGTTGCAAACCGTTGGGCCGCAGCCCACTGGTGGCCCGTGAGAAAATTTTGGTGGGCCGCAGAGAAATATCACCCCAGAGCACCGCCCAAAGCAATTAATCCAGGCTGCACAAAAACATAAGGCTGCTCAGCCCACATGGCCTGCAGGAACCCTCCCTGCCCACTCACTCCTTACCCAGAAAACTTGTCTGCTAAGTTGCTATTTTTCCTTTTTCTGACCATCATCTGTTCTGCTGTGCCCAGTGGTTTAGATTAGCTAGGAAGCAGGAAATGGTTGGATTTCTTGCTTTCTAGCTAAGCAGAGCCGAAGCTCCCTTAGGACTGAAGGTTTGCTTGCAAGCAAATTCAGTGCAGACTCACGGCAAACAAATTTGAGACTGAGCTAGCCGATGGCAGATAGATAGATCACTCAATGATTCTGTGAGCAACTCAATCTGCCTGCTTTGGCTGATTTTGGATAAAAGTTGCTTTTTTTATATAAAAAATTCAATATTTACATACATGGTGTGTTGTGAGTTAATTGTATGAGTTTGCTTGAAAGCAAATTTTGTGTGACAGACTGAGCAAGCCAATGCCAGAAAGAAAGATTTCTGAATGAATCTGTGATTCTGTGAGCAACTCAATCTGCCTGCCTGCTTTGCCTGATTTTGGGTAAAAGTTGCTCTTTTTAATATAAAACATTCAGTATTAATATAAATATTTATAATATTTACATACAAGCCATGCCCAGCCAGTCACATGACCACCAAACCACACCCACAAATTAGGCCATGCCCACATAACCGGTTAGTGGTCCCTGGGATTTAAAATTATGAGTTTGGTGGTCCCTGAGGTCCAAAAGGTTGGCAACCCCTGTTTTAAGGGATGTAGTGTGTCTTTGAAAGATAGGTATATAAAACTGTTTTTAGATATGAAGTTGCAGCTGATCTACCATTATTTTTTTCATACTTCATAAGGTCTACATTGAGAATAAATACATTCAGGACTATTTTTATTTTTTTGCCTAGGCTCCGATAGAGGTGTTCCATTTTGGAGATAGTTAGATTAGTACAATATCTTATCTCCACCATGTTTATTCATTCAATCCCCTTTTATCTAGTTCTTGGTTGATTTTAAGGTTTTAATTCTTAATGTTGAACAATTTTAATGTTTTAATGTAATTGCTGTTTTATTTTATGCTTTTATTTTGTTATAAGCCACCCAGACTTATTTAACAGTTAGATGAGTTGCATATAAATTTAAGAAATGAATAAAGGCTATTATAATGGTCCTTTATTTGGAAACAAAAAAATAAAAATATCACAAATACTACAAAACTAACTTTATGATTTCCCTCCAAACCTAGATTAAATATTTCTGCAATCTAATTGTTTGGACAATAATTCAAAATATATTGCTATCAAAATTTGACTTGACAAAAATCTGGTTTTTTTTCTTTTCTTAACATTAAATTCTAGTAATTATGTCTTTAGTCATCACTGGTAATAGCAACAAGAATTCATTATTTTGCAAATTCAGGCTTATATGATGGCTTGGAAACTTAATCCTAATCATTTATCTATACACAGCCTGGAGACTGAGCATGAAGATATGACTACAAAAGAAATACAAATCTAAGAGCTACTAGTACTGAGATGCGTATCTGAAATGCACTGTTATGTCTACTGTGCTGCTATATGATACTGATTATGTAGGGAAACTAAGACACTATTCAGTCTCATCAAATGAGATGTGGGCAGGAAGTTGTAGAGAAGGGATAGCACTATAATAGAAAGAATTCATATTGTAGTTTTGACTAAAAAATTAAAATAGTTCCTCCACAAACTACTTTGTCCTCATGTAGCTCTGTTCGTTTATTACTCTTATATACAGAAAAGTTTAAAAGTGACTATACTATATTTCACTGCCAGGCAAAAGAAAACTTCACATCTTAGGAGCCACAACCAGTGGTGGTGTAACAACAGGTTTGGTGAACGTGTTTTGCGTGTGTGCAGTACATTTGAAAACAGCTCTAAAACTTACCTTCTACTGCAGCTCCAGTAAGTAAAACAGCTGAGGTGTGGCAATCTGCTCTGCCATGCCTATCAGCTGGGCTTCAAACAAAGGAAATATAGGACAGACTAGCATAGGGGCAAGTGCAGGGGTGGGATTCAAATTTCTTAACAACCGGTTCTGTGGGTGTGGCCTAATTTGTGGGTGTGGCTTGGTGGTCATGTGACTGGGTGGGTGTGGCTTGCTGACTGGCATGGCTTGATAGTCATGTGACTGGGTGGGCATGGCTTGTATGTAAATATTATAAATATTTATGTAAATATTGATTTTTTTATATAAAAAAGAGCAACTTTTACCCAAAATCAGGCAAAGAAGGCAGGCAGATTGAGTTGCTCACAACTCAAGCAAACTCACAGAATTAACTCACAATACATCATGTATGTAAATATTGAATTTTTTATTAAAAAAAGAGAAACTTTTACCCAAAAGCAGGCAAAGCAGGCAGATTGAGTTGCTTACAGAATCACAGATTAACTTAGAGATCTACCTATCTGAAATCAGCTATCTGAGTCTGTCACATAAAATTTGCTTGCAAGCAAACTCATAATATTTCCTAGAAGGAGAACTCACAAAATAACTCACAATACACCATCTATGTAAATATTGATTTTTTTATAAAGAAAGAGCAACTTTTACCCAAAAGCAGACAAAGCAGGCAGGCACATTGAGTTGCTCACAGAATCACAGATTCACTTAGAGATTGATCTATCTGCAATCAGCTACCTGAGTCTGCACTGAAAAGCTTCAGTCCTAAGGAAGGTTCGGATCTGCTTTTAAATTAGCTAGAAAGCAAAAGGTCCAAGCATTTCCTGCTTTTTAGCTAATCTAAATCTCCTGGCAGAGCAGAACAACTGATGGCTGGGAAAAAGAAGGAAAAATAGCAACTTACAAAACCAGGCAAGTTAGATGGCTCGCCTGCCAGGTAAGGAGTGAGTGGGTGGGGAGGGGAGGGGCCAGCTAGTGTAGCGATTTGCCGGTTCTCTGAACTGGGGACAATCGAGTGTGCAGTGCAGTGTTTGCAAGAAAGCGCTGCACGAAGGTGCGCAGCATTTGAAAATCCTCTTGTTTCCTGCTTTTTCAACCTCAGCTGTGCCACGTAAAGCAGCTGAAGAGAGAAAAGCAGGGAATAAAGGACAGCCTAGAGCCCGGGCAGGCGGGTGGGCCAAACACCAAACCAGTTCAGTGTCAGCTGCTCTTCACAGCTACAGGTTCTATAGAACTGGGCTGAACCAGTAGAATCCTGCCCCTGGGTAGATGGGTGGGGCCAGCTGATCACCAGAACTACCAGTTCACCTGAACCGGTCCATGCTGGCTGAATCCTACCCCTAGCCACAACTAATATATTTCATGTGCTGTGGAAGACCAGAAAGATGTCATTCTAATTTAATATGTTTATTGAAAGTTTCAAAAAAAAAAAGAATATATTGAAATATCCAAGGGTTGACTATTAAACAGGTAACATACAAACTGCAAGCGTTTGCTGATGACATGGTCTTCATAATGGAGGACTCAAAAGAATCAAGCAAAAATTTAATACAAGAGATAGAGGCATTGGGTAAAGTAGTAGGATTCAAAATCAATAGAGAAAAGACTAAGATAATAACTAAAAATTGTACTAAAAAGCAAAATGAGGAACTGACAAAAGAATTAGGGATTCAGACAATGAAAAAAGTAAAATATTTAGGAATTTGGCTTACAGCGAAATGCTCTACAATAAAGGCTGATAACTATGACAAGTTGATAGACCAGATACAGAAAGATCTAGATAGATGGGTAAATTTACAACTTTCTTGGATGGGAAGGATACTCACCATTACAAGCAAATGTACTACCAAAATTGTTTCTTTCAAACTGTGCCAGTCAAACTAGGGAAAAAATTCTTCAAAGACTTGAACAAAAGAATTAGTAAATTTATTCGGCAAAAGAAAAAAGCTAGAGTAAAATACAAATTAATGCAAGATAGTAGAAGCAAGGGAGGACTGGTGCTCCCAGGCTTTGAGTTATACTATCAAGCTCAAGCGAGTACCTGGATCAAAGATTGGATTAACCTGGAGGACAAAAGAATATTGACAATAGAAGGCTTCAATTTACAGATTGGCTGGCACATGTTTCTCTGGGATGGAAAAAATAAAACCCATAGCTACTTTCAAAGACATTGGATAAGGGACGCTTTGTTATATATATATGGGAAAGAATTAAAAGAAATCATTATGTGAAAATACCTCTCTGACTATCTCCAATGGAGGCACTAGTATATCCCAATGTTATGGATTTGAACAAAACAATTAAATATAAAGAATTAATAACAGATGAAGGCGACTTAAAAACACAGATACAATTAAAAACACAAGGAATTGAAATTGGGTGGTGGCTGTACATTCAAATTCAAACAAAACACAAAAAAGACAAGGAACAATTTGGATTTCATAATACAGATCAGGAATTAGACAAAATTTTACAGGGAAGTAAAAAAAAGATGATTACCAAAACGTACAATTATTTATTGAAATTTAAAATGGAAGAGGAAATGGTGGACATGTCCTAAAGCCCCAAAGTATTGGTTTAAGATACAGTCATGGTTAGAAGAGATGACAAAACTAAAGATCAAATTCAACCCAGAGACCTTTCTACTTGGAATGACAGAACCGACATAGAGCAAAAAACATCAGCATCTCATATCACATATCATTACAGCAGCAAGGATAGTCTTTGCCCAAAACTGAAAATCAACAATGACACCCACGGACCTGGCAATAACTAATAAAATCCACCAATGTCCAGAAATGGTTAGACTAACCATGTTACTAAAAAATAAGGAAGAGGAGAAGTTTTTTACAATTTGGAATATATGGTACAAATGGTTGTGTAAAAAGGAAGTAAAGATGTCTAGCAAAACAGCAAGGGAAAATGGAAATAAAGATAAATGTATATAAAGCTATGTATATATGTAAAGTAATATAATTAAATAAATATTGTATTATAATTGTAATAATAACAAAAAAATAAGGATCTAGGAAACAAGTTATAGATTTACTTGTAACAAATGACTTTAATTGACACTTAGAAATGTACACTGCTATGAAAACATTGCAAAAATGTGAGAACATGTTTCTCTTTTTTAAAAATATATTTCAAAAAGATATCATTCTATAGGCATTGTTTTAATTACAGTGAACATATCCCCCAATTTATAAAGAATCATCCTTTATTTTCTTTAGATTAATTTTTCAAAAACTCACTTTTGTCTTTTATTTTTGCGAGTTAACTTTTACCATACAAATTGTACCTCATAATGCATAGCTTTTCACATTCATGTGAAAAATACAAAAATTAATAATGTTTTAAAAATAAATTCACATTGCTGATTATAGATATTTTAATAGAATGGGTGTTTTTATTAAGTTTTTCTTGGTTTTGCTCTAGAATCGCCTTTTCTAAAGCAAAGTTCTAAATAAAAATAAACCTGTTTTTTCCTTATATATCTCTTTCAGATTTATCCCTTTTTCAGATGTTCTTCAATTTTTCCAACACTATATGGTCACTGTAATTTTAATAAAAACAGTATAAGAACAATTAAACTTCTATTAATCACAGTAGTACAAATAACTTGGTTCAGATATTTATAAATTCTGAGATCCATATATTCACAAGCTTTTAAATTTTTAAAGTTCTAATTATAGTATTTGATTTTATATCATTGTTTTTAGAAAGTTCTGGGAAGGACCATATGTTCACAACACAAAATACTGTGACATTTTGGAATATCAAACTGTTTTTATTGTTGCCGCTGTTGCTGCAAAACGTATCAGGAGAGATTGGAGGAACTGAATATGTCTGTCCTGAGAACAAAAGGGGGGACATGACTGAAACCTCCAAATATATTAAGGGTGTATATAAGATTTAAGAAGTCAGTATTTTCAATAATAAGCAAAAATCAAGAACATGGGGCTGAAACTGACAGGAGAAAATTTCAAAAGCATTGTTAAGAAGAATTACTTGCCAGAAAAAGTAATGGAAGCTGAGACCAACTTCCAGCAAAGGTAGTTGACCAATCTTCAGTAACTGATTTAAACATGTTTAGGATTTTCAATAACACATATCCATCATCTGGCAAAATTTAAATAATAATAATAATTAAATACTAATTAATTTAAAAGGAAATAACAAAAAACCCACAAAGAGCAGATTCAATGAACTACTAGGTCTTTTTCTGCTTTCAATTTTCTATGTTTCTTTTCATTCAGTTACCAAATGTCATTTCGAAAATATGCAAAAAACTGTTCAGGATTTTAGTCATTGTAATATTTATTTTATTTATTTATTGGAATTTGTCAAACAAAAATGAGAACAAGAATAAGAGAATTAAAATACAATGACAGGGATGAAAAGCATGTTAGAACACTTATGTACTCTTCTGACCACTTAAGTATGAAGTAAGGCCCATGTAAGTCAATTTGTGACTGAAACTGTGAAGATTTGTAGCTGAGACAACTGAATTAGGTAGAGCATTCCAGACTTTGACAACTTTATTACAACAATAATATTTTTTACAGTCAAGTTTAGAACAATTTACATTGAGTTTAAAGCAGTTCTTCTCATGTGTATTATTGCGATTAAAACAGAAAAAGTCATTTACAGGTAAAATATTACTCCGTATAATTTTGTATGCAATACCTAGGTCTGACCACAAGCAATGCAATTCTAAGTTATCCAAAAAAGAATTTCGAGCTTTGTAGCATAAGAAATTCTATTGTGTACAAGAGTAAAGACTTTTCTCATGAAGTACTTCTGAATCCGCTCGATTGTACTGATATCAGATATACAGTGGGAATTTCAAACAGTTGAACAATACTCTAAAATTGGCGTAGCATAAGTTTATAAGCTCTAATTAGCAATACAATGTTTCCAGAAAAAAAGCTTCACAAAATTAAGTTTACAACTCTCAATGCTTTTTTTAGCAACGCTGTTAGAGTGAACTTTGGAGCATAAATCATCAGAGATAAGTACACCTAGGTCCTTAACAAAGTGAGGGTCATCTGCCACTTAGCTTATATTTGACATTCTGTTTATGTTTACCAATATGTAAGACAGAGCATTTATTAATTGAAATTTGAAGTTGCCAAATAGATGACCATTCAGACAGTCAAGCTCACTTTGCAAAACAACAGAATTATCTGTAGAATTGAATGAGTCAGAATGAGTTAATCACTATTTTTGTGAAAATGTTTACTACTATGAACTTCTGCAAATTTCTTGATCTGATGGCAGAAATTACAACTTTGTAGGAAAATTAACCAATTCAGAATGAGAAAAATCTTTAGTAAATTCAACTAGGTAGCAGCATAACCAGAAATTCTATTAAAAGTATTTCAGCTTTTAACATACCATTGCTTACACAGTGTCAGAAGTTTTTATATTGTAATATAACGTCCAAGACAGTTGTATAGCCCCAAAGAAAAACAACCCTTAAAAAACAGTTGCCGAAGCAATTATGAAATATCAGAAAACAGAACAGGAATGGAATAATTGGTTTCATAGTCAAGCAAATTCTGAAAGAAACACATTATTTTATACTATGTTAATATTTCCTTTATATATATATCATATAGTTCACATGATATGAAAGCATTAGGATTAGCATCAATAATTTTATTTTTCTGAAGGCGGAACTGATGTCGCAGTGAACATAGTGCATTTCCATGAAACTCTGTGGAAGTTCACTGAATTCTTCCTGCAAGAGCCGTAACGGCGAACCTATGGCACATGTGCCAGAAGTGGCATGCAAAGCCACTTCTGCCGGCACACAAGAGGTCATCTGGAAGAGCTCCACTGTGCATGTGAACACGCGCTGCCACCCAACAACTGATTGTCGGGTATCTGGCATGCATGCACGGGGGACGGGGATGCACAGGAGATGTGTATGCAGGCGCAGAGATGCACAGCAGAGGGATCGCACGTGCATGCGCAGAGATGCTGGCACACCAGGGGTGCGCGCATGCACAGGGGCATGGGGGGCAGCACGCATTGCCTTCTGGGTGCTGGCACATGAGCACACACACAATTTTCAGCATGGGTGGTGAAAAAGGATAGCCACCACTGTGCTAGAGGGTCTTCTGGAACCTAAGTCACTCTGGAGGGGTGATGAAGATAGAGAGGACACTCTGTAGATCACAAGGAGACCACAAACTCCTTGTTTGATCTGGAGGAAGCTCTCAATCCGGTAGGAAGAAAAAGATGGCCATTGTGTGCCTGACCTAGGTTGTGACAGTGCGACCGGGAAATAATGGAATATAGATTGAAGAACAGTGTGGCTGATCTGGGTGAGAATTTTCCAACTTCTGTTGAGGAATTTGCCCTCTTTATATTTGACCTGGGTGAAAGTGGGACTACAAAAGAAGGGGGTGGAATTAGTTATCTCTTTATCTCTTATAACCCTAACCCTAAGAATAGCGGCGATCAAGCACAAGAGTTGAAAATCGATCCTGACAAGAAAAGTGAACTATTTGGATGAAATAAGTTTAAAACAAGGAAAATTGGAATGATTACCTTAATGACAATATTAATTGGATTTTACTGAATTGAAAACCTTTTTGGAATGTAAAATTTGGACCCTGGAACCCCAAAAGAAAAAAGTTTTGGCTTAAGTTAAGTTAAGCTAAAAGGAGAGAAATAGAGCAACAGTGACATCTACTTGCTGAACAAAACACATAGAAGTGAAAGTAAAAGACAGTGAAATTTACACATTTTGACCTTGGCTGTGGATTGTTGAAACCCTTTGATTCAGTGGTACATGACAAACTACTGTTAAAACTAAACTTTCATGGCATTTCCAGATCCTTTCATTAGTGGATTACTGTGTTCCTGTCAAACAGACAACAAATAGTAAAAATAAGGGGTGCTATATCAAATCCTGCTCCAGTTAACAGTAGTGTCCTCCAAGGCAGCATTCTAGGACCCACACTCTTTATACTCTATATAAATTATCTTTGCGATCACCTTAAAAGCAACTGCTTCCTATTCAACACCACTGACAATGCTACTGTCCTTCAAAGCAACCTTGATTATGTGTCTGAATGGTCAAACAATTGGCAACTTGAAATCTCGACTAATAAATGCTTTGTCCTACACATTGGTAAAAAAAAATAAGTACACCAAATACAAGCTAGGTGGATATGACCTTGTTGATGACCCGCTCTCTGTCAAGGACTCAGAGTTCTTATATCTAATGACCTAAGTACCAGAGCTCACTGTAACAGCATTGCCAAAAAGGCATTAAGAGTTGTAAATCTAATCTTACGAAGCTTTTCCTCCGGAAATATAGAATTGCTAACTAGGGCATATTAAACCATTGCTAGACCAATATTCGAATACAGTTCATCTGTCTGGAATCCGCACTGTATATCGGACATTAATACAATTGAGCAAGTCCAGAAATATTTCACGAGAAGAATACTATACTGCTCTGCTTGCAACAGAATACCCTATATCACCAGACTTGAAATTTTGGGCTTGGACAACCTTGAACAATGCTGCCTATGGTTGGACGTAAGCGTAGTACACAAAATTATCTGCTACAATGTCCTACCAGTCAATGACTACTTCAGCTTCAACTGCAACAATGCAAGACTACACAACAGATACAAACTCAATATTAACTGCTCCAAACTTGATTGCACAAAGTACAACTTCAGCAACAGAGTGGTCAATGCCTGGAATGTACTATCTGACTCTGTTGTTACATCCTTTAACCCCTACTCCTTTAACCTTAAACTATCCACTATTGACCTCACCCCATTCCTAAGAGGTCTGTAAGGGGTGTACATAAGTACACAATTGTGCCTACCGTCCCTGTCCTATTGTCCCCATTTATTTGTACCTATTTCCTGTATTCTTATTCATGTTTATACTTATATCTATTATCTTGTAAGTGATTGACAAATAAATAAGTAAGTAGGTAAATAAATAAATAGAGGATTAGAATTAGAATTACAGAAAGAACCACAAAAAAAGAATTTGAAAAATCAAATGGACTTAATAAGGCATAAATTGAATTTATTGGAACTGGCACAAAAACATCAAAAGTGTGAAACAGAACTTGATTGAAAATGTGAACAAACCAGGAAGATGATTGGCATATAAACTGAAAAAGAGAAGGAAAAAAACCTGACACATCAACTAATAGATGAAAAAGGGACTCTTTACTACCAAAATGAGGATTTTAAAAATTCAAGAGTATTACAGAAAACTGATGACCAGGAGGAAACCCCAGAAAATAGAATAAAATAATATTTGCAACAATCTGAATTTGTTAAAAGTACCCAAAGCAGTTGAATGAACAAATAATTATGACAGAATTGACATAGGTGATTAAGAGACAAAAGAATAATAAAACACCAGGACCAGATGGAAAACAAATGGCATTGATCTGTTTAGACGCACAGAAAACATCTGATAACGTCAATTGGAGGTTTATGTTATTACAATGAAAATTCATGGATTTTGAGGAGAAATTTATTAATATGATCAAAGCAATATACCGCAAACAATCAGCTAAGGTTATGGTAAATGGGGACATGACAGAGAATTTTGATATACAAAAAGGCACAGGGATGTCTACTGTCCCCTCTACTATTTATATTGACCTTGGAAGTGCTAACTAGAAATATTAGACAAGATGAAGAAATAAAAGGTATAAAAATAAAAGAGAGAGAAATACAAGTTACAGGCATTTGCAGACAATTTGGTTTTTATATTACAAGATCTATTAGAAACCGGAGTGAAGTTAATTAAAAAAAAAAGAAGTATTTAAAGTAGAAGTCACAGGACTGAAATAAATAAAGAAAAAACAAAAATACTAGTTAAAAATCTTACAAATACACAGAAAAGAGTGCTAATGGAAAAAATGGATATACAGATAGTCAAGAAAGTAAAGTACTTAGGGGTACAACTAGCAGCAAAGTGTGCAACGATTAAAGAGGATAACTATATGAAACTGATGCAACAAATCAAATCAGATTTGGAGAAATGGAAAAACTTGCAACTATTGTTGCCAGGAAGAATAGCTACTATAAAAATGAATATTTTACCAATATATTTATTTTACCAATATATTTATTTCAAACAATTCCAATAAATCTGAGGAAAAAATGTTTTGAAGAATTAAATAAAATAATATTAAGATACATTTGGCTAGGGGAAAAAGCAAGAATAAGAATAAGCCTGAAGAATAAAAATAAGCCTGAAAACGTTGCAAGATTCCAAAAAAAAGAGAGGGGACTTTGGGTTGCCAGATTGGGAATTGTATTACCAGGCCACATGGGTGAAAGTATGGCTCAATCTGAGGCATAAAAGCTTTAGAGGGACATGACCTTCAATTAGGTTAGCATGCTTTCTTATGGTATGGAAGAATAAAATACATAGCTATTTTCAAAGACACTATATTAGAAATGCACTGTTATCAGTATCCATAAAAATTAAAAAACATCATTATCCGAAAATACCAGTCTGGCTTTCCACAATGGAAACATTGAAATATCCTAATGTTATCAATATGGAAAAAAATATAAGATATAAAGTTATTTTGAATGAAAAGGGGCAATTAAAAACTAAGCAACAACCGAGTAGTCAAGGAATGGAGATTGCATGGTGCAACATCTACCACAAGTGCAGAGACAATCTTGATATAAGAAAGATGCTAAAATGTATGGTTTTAATAAAGAATTAACAGTATTGGACCAGATATTAACTGGAATGGATGAAAAACTAATAAAGAAAATATATAGCAATTTATTAAGCATCAAATAAGAAAGCAAACAAGTAAAGGAGACAATGATAGCTTGGCTAAAAACTTTGGATATGCAATAGAACTGCATATAAAGAAAATTCATATAAAATGTTTTACAATGGCATTTTTCACCAACAAGATTGGCAAAAATGTTTAAAGAAAGGTCTGCTAAATTTTGGAAGTGCAACCAAACAACTGATTCGTATTACCATACATGGTAATATGCCCCAAAGCAAAAAAATACTGGACAAAAATACATACGGTTGGAAAAAATGATAAAGCAGCATATAGATTTGAAACCAGAAATATTTTTATTGGCCATCCTGCCAGAAAATATGATAAAAGGAATATATATTTGATTTTACATGTATTACTGCAACCAGAATTGTATTTGCACAACAATGGGAAAGCGAAGAGATCCCAAAAGATGAGAGTGTAACAAAAAAAATATTAGAATGTGCAGAAATTGACAGATTAATGCTTACAATTAAAGAAAAAGAAGGAATTGAATATTTCTTGATATGGGACTTATTTTACCAATGGTTAGATAATAAAAACAGAAATAGAAAATATGGGGATATAAAAAAGACTAATGTTATAAAGGAGATTTGTTAAAGTAGACAAGTAAAATATTATCATTATTATAGAATTAACATTATTGTGATGAATACTATTGTAAACATTTTGATATGATTTCCTAAAAATAATTGTACCTAGACAACACACTGATTGAAATTGAGTTTTTACATGCTTTACAGATTAACAGAGTTGGGAGGGACCTTGTAGGTCATCTAGTCCAACTTGTTAGGAATCTGTCCACCAATTACTTGGGTTGGCAATATATAAACCAACATTGTATGTTTGTAACTTTAAGACAAAATCACTGTATTGATTTATATTTTATTCTGATTGGTTGATTATATTGCAAATTACCATAAGAGGGAGCTAGAGATCATAGCTTGCTCTCTCTGACATTCTGTTGCTATCTAAGGTTCTCTGTTGTATTTATGCTGTGCTTATACTTTGATATCTTTGTTTACTGTAAATGACAAAAAAGGTAAGAAGACTTTGTAATTGGATATTCTTTGGACTGCTAAACGTATATGACCTGGACCGTTTATTGGACTGTGCTATTTCTTAAAGTAAACTTTAATTCAATTTAGTATCTGTGTGTGGCTGGATAATTATTCATAACTATTCTCATAAATGTTTCCATGTGCATATCCTTGTTACTCAAGGGTAATTCTGTACATATCATAACATTGGTTAAGGGCCTGGAGAAATTTTGAGAATCAGTGTGAATATACAGTTTCATATTCAGACAGCTGATTGCGGTTTATTGTTAAACTACCAATGGCACAAGAACAGTCAACCAGTATATCCCAGATAACCCGGTTGGATGAACAAACTATGTTTCCTGGTCTATGAAGTGCAGCCTACTTCTGCGTAAAGAGGATTATGGACTGTAGTTAATAGTCCACTGGATGTAACAGCTTGGGACCCAATGGATGATGAAGATAAAAAGAAAATAGCTGACTTTAACCAGGATAATGTTGTAAAGGGTCTTAGTATAATTGTACTTGGGCAGTTCATAATCCAATGACAATTAAATGGAAAGGACAAAGAAGAAGATCTAGATGGACATTAAATAATACTATACTAAAAGAAAAAGACTTCATACAGAGGATGGAGAAAGAACTGGTTTTTTCTTTAAAGAAAATAAAAAAGAAGACATATCAATGCAGAACGTATGGGATACAATGAAGGCATATGCCAGAGGCTTGATAATAGACTATACAAGGAAAAGAAATACCATGAAAAGACTAGCCTCTAAGACTATAAAGGACTTGAAAAAGAGTTACAGAAAATGCCACAGAAAAAGGAGGTTAAGTTAAAAATGGATATAATTAAACAAAATGGGACTAATGGAAAAAGAAGAATTAGCACAGAAAATCAGAGGTGCGAAACAGAACTATTTTGAAGATGCAAATAAACCAGGTAGATGGTTAGCATATAAACTGAGAAAGGAGAAAGAATCAAGGAAAATATTGCAATTAATAGATGATCAAGGCCAAGTTTGCTAGGGAAGTAAAGAGAAGAAGGAAATTATACGAGACTATTATTACTATACTATTATACACACAAGAGAATATTGATGAGGAAAGAGTTAAACAGTACTTACAGAATGCTAATCTACCCCAGATACCTAAAAAGATTGAAATAATG